AATCTTTTTTAAAGATAATTAATTCTATATACATAAGAAAGAAAATATCATGATTTAAAACAGTCTAATCCTCTATTGTTTGGGATAATAAAAAAGTGTATAGCACTAATTGTTATTACTTTCCCTCTTCATAGTGCTTCCATTTAAACAATGGCATAATTTTTTAGAATCTTCCTCAATTGCCTTATTTCTTATGAACACCAGGACCATTCTAGATGCAGAATAATTGAAATATTCTATAATCTTGTCCTTGTACTTTCTGTTGTAAAGTTTTATTTTCAATCACTTTCTAGGCTGTTTTCTCACATTTTTTAATTTAGAAAACTTGATTGATTTTCTTTCTCCCTACTACTCACTTTCCATTGCACTCAGGTACTGCAGTTTATTACCACCGTTCATAAATTAAGTTTGTTTCTCCTTAGTGTCCTTTCTACAACGATCTCGCCCCCTGGAATGCCTTCTTCCCTGTTTTCTGATTCTATCTCTTCTGACCCAAGACAAATCTTATCACTTCATGAAGTCTATTTCAAATCACTTTATTTTCTTCTGGATCCCCCTATAATAGTAAACTTTATATTATCTATTATTTTTAAAAGACTTATGTTCTGTGTGCTGTAAAAAGTGTTTTACAAAATTACTCAGTACAATATTCAAGGCAACCAGCCAGCTAAATGAGTACTATTGTCTAAGTTGAGTGAAGATGGGTATATGAAAAATATTCTCAAAGTTAAGGAAAACATTAAGAGAGACAATCAAACGCATATCTTTTTAGCTGCTTGGTCTTACAATTTCCTGGGTTGTTGAGAAGGGGAATTTACAACAGGAGAATTGACTCTTGGGGGAAAAGACATGTGGAATTTCTAAAATTCCTACCTGAAGCAGACTACCCACCCAATATCAAAGTAAATTCTAATTAGGTTTTATATCATGTCTGAGCCTTCTTGGTGCTCACTGATAAATGTTCTCCAGAATTATAGAGATTTTTAAGCTACAGATTTCTTTTGTCCACAAGTACATGTTGTTTTTCCATTTGCACTCATTGTCTCAATTTCATGTTACTTCTTGTTGCATCTTCATCCACTGCCTCATCTCTGTTTAACACTCTCCAGAAGAATAAGACCATGAAATCATCTTTGAGTACTAAAAATAAGGGTAGTTTCTTTATATTATATCATTATATATCCGTATATATATCATTATTATATGTATATTATATGTATATTATAGATATATTAATGTTACATATATATTAATGATGTATATATATATATATATATACATATATATATGAGATGAATATATGAATATATGTTGGGCTATTACTAACACAATATATTATCACCACTCAGTTAAAACCTCAGAGGTAATATAGCCTTGCTTCTAAGAGTACACACCCTGAAGTCTAAGTGTGTGAGTTCAAAATCTGACAGCACTGTTTGTTAGCCATGTGACTTTAGGCAGTTTTTCACACTACTGTAAATTCATTCTGTTACATGGAAAATAAAAATAATATTGTTTACTATAGAGGATTAAAGGAAGAAAGGATTAAATAAGCTTCTGTATATACAGTTCTTTGAGCCATGCCTACTGTAGACTAAGACTTCCATATGTTATATTGTTTTTTATGCACAAAATATTTGTTCACTATTTACTTGTTATTGTTCTTCCTGGGGAAACACAATCACAAAGGAAAAATAAACAACAACAACAACAACAACAAAACAGCCCACAAAACAAAACAGCACAGGTGTAGTACCTGTGACTTGAGTAAGCTTTTCTTGTTAGCCCAGAAATAAAATAAAACTAAAATTTATTACCGTCTAAGAAACCTGCTGATTTTCTTTACCAACCTGTTGCTGTTCTATGCTTTCTAAGTCTAGTACAAGCCTAAGACCAATGATCTCCTGGTAGTTTTATGCTAATACATACATGTTCCATCCTCTCTGCTGTTGTATCATTGTTTCCTCTTCACTTACAACTCACACTCCTCGTTGATGCTGAAAATCCCTATTATAACCTTGAAAAGAGAGCCCTGTGTTCCTTACCAATACTTATTTAAGGTTCAGTCCTCCACCTTCACATTTTTGGCAAAAACCTTCTATCCCAAAGAAATATGGCAAAACTATGCTTATGTTTTAAGTCATTGTTTGATGTAACTGATTGCCCCTATGGTCCTGTAAAATATAAGATGAATCACTGGGAGAATTTCTTCTCTGATAACAGAAGTATTTTATAGGTGGTCCTGTATGTCCTCTATGAAAATGAAAGTCTAGTCAGAATTTAAGTTGCTACTTGCTTATTCATTTTGTGTTCTTTTCTTCGTTAATGAGACAACAAAGATTTTTATATACAGTAGATTCTACCCATTCGTGGAAGGAAAAAAATTAGCACATTAATGAATCAGCATTCTATTTGTACCTCCGAAGTCCTCTCTTATTCAGTAAAGAAAAATGTCGATTGCTTCATGCTACACATGAGCTTAAAGAACTAGTAATTAGGACTGAGTCTTTGCTATCAGAGCAAGATAGAAAAATTCAAATGTGTGATAATTTATATGAATAGGATTATTGAACATTCATTCTATTGTTTAAATTATTTTCTGGGGCTTGGAATGTATCTCAGTGGTGGTAGAACCCTTATGTGTGTGACACCTTCAGAATCATCCCAATTCCAGAAAGAGAAGAGGAGAGGGGAGGGGAGGGGAGGGGAGACGAGGGGAGGGGAGGGGAGAGGAGGGGAGAGGAGATGAGGGGAGAGGAGGGGAGACGAGGGGAGACGAGGGGAGACGAGGGGAGACGAGGGGAGACGAGGGAAGACGAGGGGAGATGAGGGGAGACGAGGGGAGACGAGAGAAGGAGGAGGAGGAATGGGGGGGAGAGAGAGACAGAGAGACAGAGACAGAGACAGAGACTGATATTCTTATCAGTTAAATTTCTTGAATATACCCATATTTATTTTCATTCTCTGAATGCATCTACTGGAAAGAAATGTTAGTCTGTGTACAAACAAAGACTATGAAAGTAACATGAAAGAGACAAATAAGGAAATTTTCTCAAAGTTAAATCTGATTTTCTATCCTAAATTATTGAGATAATTAGCTCTCCCTTCTCATTTGTGAAAGAAATGGTAAATTAGGTATATCCTATATATTTAAACACGACAAAGCAAAAATCTGGGTGTGGTGCTGTGCCTATGTAACAAAATTTCAAGCACTGAGACAGGAATATTATGAGATCTAACCTAACCTGGTCAACATAGTGGAATCATGTGTATGTGTGTGTGTGTGTGTAGAGGGTGGATGATGGTGGTGGTGTATCCCAGTGTCCTACAGAGACAGACAGAAAAAAAATCCTGGAAATGATGCCTATCTGATTAAACTCCATGCTGCAGGAAACTCATGAATAATTTTCTACTATATTTTCTGATTTTGAAATCCAGCTATAACGGCTTGAAAAAGCCCTGTTTTTTGGAGTAAGGATAGATGCTCTTCCATCTGTTTTACTATTTCCCTTCCTTTAGCTGAGGTCATCCCATCTGTATTCCCCTTCCAGTACTCAGAGTCCATCAGGGCTACTTTGGCTGCCAAAAATAGTGACAAGTAACATTCATTGTCCCTCTACCTTACTTCTGCGGCATGCAAACTTCTGCATTTAAAGTGACTGTGACTGGAAACACCAGCCAATTCTTCAGGATTACTAACACGTTATTGCTGCCACCTTTCCTCTTACTTTAGCAGAGTCATTTAATTCAGTTTTAGAAAGAGTAAAGAGACAGAGGGGAGGGAAGGAAAATTTTTTTTAGTCACACAGATCAATCCAATTTGTCGGAGCTTCAGAATGAATTTTTAAATTTGTTGAACAGAAGAATACAAGTCTCTAAGCACAAGTACAATAATGTACAAAGCCTCCATTCATTGTGTAGGCAGAATGGAATGCTGGTACCCGGCAGCTCTCTAAGGAATGTTCCTTTGGCTTTGACTGTTCTGCTGGAAACAAGGAGGGAACCACATATATAAAATGAATTTATAATGTCTCTGCCTTATTATGGCAAAATGATAAGAAAAGTTGGCTGTTTAATATAAACTGTCAGTTGCATATTCCAGGCCTCCATTCTTTGAGGTCCCTCCCACATCCACAGGCCTGGCTACTATTTAACAGGGAGTACAAAGTGGCCAATTATGATTATTGACTATCCAGGCCTGTGCTCTTAAACTCATTCTGTCAACAGAATGTAAGCAAAGTTAGCATTTTAAAGCAGGACTCATTCTGTTCCTGGCTTTTCTTAAGTTTGCTATGCAACAGGATCAGTGCTGTAGTCCCCGGTTCAAGCTGAAAATGTTGCACAGGAAGACATATCATGTAAAGGTCAGATTCTTATATTATGTTTTTTTTATCTGTGTCTGTACAAATGAAACTTAATGTCATAACTCTTGTCATAACTCTTATCAAGGTCCTATGGATTCTTTACCTGCCAAGTCTGAAAATATGATGGTATTTTAAATGGGAATGCTTAGCAACCATTGTTTGATGTCTATATATCTATGATGCCATAGTACCAAGGTGAACTACTGTGTGTTTTCAAGAAGATGCTCTTGTCTCATAGAGTCCCATTAATGTGCTGGCATTGGACAAAGTACAACATTGTTTGTGTATTTCTTCATGCTTTTATGGTCACAAACAATATAATAGATTAATACATGCATTGAAAATATAACTTGACTCACTGTAGTGAAATGATTACCACTGATATCTATGTTACTACATCATTTTATTTCGTAATGTGTGTGTGTGTGTGTGAATATTTTATACATAGACTAGAAAATTTAACTTATAAAATGTGCTGTAAGTGTATTAATTCTAAACCAGGACATATTTTCTTTTTAGTTACCAAGCTAGAATTTCTTTTGAACTAGTAATTTTTTTTTTTAGTTCTTCAAATTCACATCCACAGCTAGTCTCTTTGTTTGGTAATTCTGAATGTGTTTTATTGCCTTCTGGTAGGATCTCCAAGGAGAAATTGAAGCTCACACGGACATCTATCACAATCTTGATGAAAATGGCCAAAAAATCCTGAGATCCCTGGAAGGTTCAGATGAAGCACCCCTGTTACAAAGACGTTTGGATAACATGAATTTCAAGTGGAGTGAACTTCGGAAAAAGTCTCTCAACATTAGGTAGGCTATGATCATGGGGGTGGGGAGGAGCAGGGATCCAGATGTGAATAAGATGACTAGATTCTCCTCATTTTCCTAGAACAGGTAAGTAATATCTCATATGTAAATCACCCAATTTTAAAGTGATTCATTTTATTTTGAATAAATAAATCATTCATTTACTTAGAATGGAGATGATACTTGCAGGTTCAGTTTAGATTAAAATGGGACTGTTTTCTAACCACAGGAGAGACATATATTAAGACATTAGAGGAAATTTTAAAAGGGAGCACTGAGATTCTGATTTCAGAATTCTCTCTTGGTGTATCACAGTGTCATACAAACAGCAATAAAATTACTGAGTATTTATTATGACATTCTCTCTTTGGCATCTGTCTAAATGTGTAACCAAAGAAGATTCTTTTAAAGCAGAACATTTTATAATCAACAATTTAAAGACACACTATCTAGAGTTCAGGCAGCTAAGGAGATTATAGCCGCTTACTATCACTTGATCTCTCTTAGATTTTGTTGAAGCACATTCTCTGAAGGGTCACTGAACACTTTAGATCTTGCACTTACTTTCTCCTTTGCCAAATGAGCTTGCTTGGGGAAGTGAATGGTTGTATCAGTGCTAACGAAGGTAGAGGGAAGTCTTCAGAATTCTTGGATGGCTGATACAGGTATAGAGAGAGAGACAAAGGAGCAGAGCCGGTCTCTAAAGAGCCCAGTGTTACCTAAGAAGCTGGAAAATGCAGGGAGGAGGAGCAAGCTCCCTGCTTTCTGAGTAATTGTTTATCCTAATCCACTAATTTTAAAAATATTTTTGTGCTTTCATCAGTGCATATAAAAGGAGTGGTCATGAAGAGAAATAGAAAGGACCAATTAACTTGATCAATAGTTAGAAAAGAAGGTATTCAATAATGGGAGCAGTTACTACTCTGAGTTAGTCTGATTATTTAAAAAGAAAAAAGCCTTTTCCTCCTTCTTCATAGTTCTTCTAAATTGTCTACAATTTCAACATACAACTGTCATAAGGAAGATGAACATATGATATTTTATTAACTTGAAAGCACTTTTGAGAAACTCTACCCACTATGAAGCAATAATAATACTAGCGAGTAACAGAGGGTGTGTGTATGTCTCATCTACTGTTGTAAGCATTTCATAGTGTTTGAATCATGTGATGTTATAAGCATCTATGAAAAGTCTATTTCATTCATATACTGTCTTAGCCTTTGAAGAAAGTGAGGACAGAGAGGTTAAATGGGTTCCCGAAAGTGACCCAGTTAACAAGTGGCATGTATAAGACCTATTCACATTTAATCGAACTTCATCATATTAACGCTTAGTCATCAGAGTATTCTGTAGGGTTGAATAAAAAAAGAAATTTTCACAGATAAATTCATCACAATTGAAAATATTGGATTGAGAACAGATTTCAAAAAACAGAAAGGCTTTATCTATACAAAGCTTTTCCTCAAGTTTGCACCCTAGCTTCTAAGAATCTCATCTTCATCTCAGTGTTCTGCCCATGTTTTTTGAAATCTATGATTTCAAATCTTTGATCTTTTTGATCTTTTGATCTTTTTGATGAGTTGATGGCAACAATGGGATATTTCATTTTATTTATAGAGAAGCTCTATTAGTTTTCTAAATTTTAAACGTCTAAGAGCAGACTAAGTATGTAATGACCAAGGCCACATTTGTAACATTTGTCCTTAAAAATAATAAAACATGAACTGAAAAATGTTTTGATGGGTAAGGAAATGAACATGGTTACCCTATTGCAGGAAAGAAAAAGAAAAGAGGCTATGACTGTTGCAGAAGTCTCTTGATGCCTTTTCTCTCCTTTATGTGAATATGATGAAATAAAAGAATTGAAACTGTCAAACAGGATGTTGGCAAAATATGGCCTCTTCATTTTCAAAAATTTCCCTTATGCCAGCTACTGCAGTTTAATTTTTACTGTGATTAATCAAGCAGAAAACAGTTACCTTAGCTTATGGAAGATGCTGTGAATTCTGCTATTTGAATATTCTGATTAATGGTTTTGACTGTAAATAGCTCTCTGTAATAATCTAGAATATGTTATAAGTTCTCAATTATAAGAAACAATGAATTCTTTACATCTACATACTTTAGTTTCTTGACACTCGACTGAAGTAGGGGTATCACTCATTCCATAGCAGTGGCACAGCAGAGATAGTAATTATGAAATAAGATAAAGGAACATTAGGATGATTGTCCATTGGGAGATTTTTCATATTGAATGTCACTGCAAGTTTTCTAAAATGTTTCAAAATATCCTGAGAAAACAACCCTGTTTCAGTAGATTATAGCACATTATATACTAAAAAATGCACTGTGTTCATTGTTTTGCAAGAGCATCAAAAATCATTCATGTGTTTCAGAAAATAAAAGCAACAGTTGTACAGAAATATTCTACCCAGGACACGGATTCTATCACATTGCTCCATAGTTCAAAATTTTTGATCATGTACACAGATTTTACTCATCAGTTTGGTACTAACCTCTTCTCTTTTTTGGCCCACTCCCATCCTGTATCCTTCTCACCAAGTAACATTCTAGTCCCTCTCCCATAAAGAGATCTAAGCAACTAGATTCTGCTTTCTAAGCCAGTTTTAATTTCTAGCAGTTTTCTGTATCTTGTGAGAGATGCAGTATGGACACATACTGGTTGGTTCTTATGTTTGGAACACAATCTCTCTTATTCTTTGAATTTTGAACCAAATTCTCCATGTATTTTCTATTCTGGATGTTCTTCACCAGTTCTTTCCACAGTCACTAGAATTTATACTGGAAGGACTAAGTGTATGGTCTAAGTATATGGTAGAGCGCTTGTCTGATATGAATAAGATCTTTGGCTCAACCCAAAACACAGACATAGGCACAAACAGATACATACACACACACACACACACACACACACACACACACACACACAAAGTTCCTTTGGCTGCCCATGAGTGGCTTCATGTTTCTTAGGTTCAGCTAAATTAAATAAAAGATGGGTAAAGTCAAACAAAATAAGTCTAAAAGAATAGTCTTTTTACACCACAGTTGTTATCTTCTGACTCTTTTATCACATAATATATAATCTTGAGCTAATTACTTAAGTACTTTAATCCTATGCAACTCTATAAATTCTAAGATAATGCTTTTTCAACCCAGAAGAATCACTGTATGTATGGTGTGTGTGCATGCTCACATGTGTGTGCACCCGAGCCTGTGGGTATATGCGCCTGTATGCAAGAGGCTAGAAGCCAATGCCAGTGTCTTTCTCAGTTGCCGTCTAATATTTTGACTCAGGTTATCTCACTGAACCTTAAGTGCATCAATTTGGCTATAAGGTATAGCCAATAAACTCAGGAACCCACCTGTCTCTAGTTCCTTGTGCCAGGAATTACATATGCATACCACTATGCTTGGCTTATATGTGAATGCTAGGGATCCAAACAAAGGTCCCCGTGCTTGTTTAGCAAGAAGTTAACCATTTTATTCCTCTCCACAGCTCCTTGATTTTTACATTTGCATAGAACTGATCTGTATTTAAAATATACTATTAAAAATAAATAGAATGTCCTTGAGAAAAAGTGGTTGAAATTCTAGAGTACAAACTTACTGTTCCACTCAAGAAAAGTGGATCATCCCTTTCATACTCATTATCATATCACACATTGTCCACAAGATAGACTACTAAGTAAACATCAGTGATAACTCAGCTATATAGAGCAAGGTAAAGGCTGGAAATACAATAATATCTTTACATATAGAAGTCTGTACACATGCATACATATACAGAGTGAGAACTGAAATTTCAGTAGCAGGAGGATGATTAATGAAGCCAAGTATTTCTCATGATAAAATAGCCCATATACACAACTCTTCACTTTGACTTTAAAACTACTTAAGATTTCAGAAGTCAGCAAGTGAATTTTTTACAGAGGCAATATTTATGAAGATTTGTTTAATCTGTATTCAGATTTTTCCACATTATTGGATATATGTTTCACTATGAGGGTTACTTAATATGTAGTTGATATGACTTCAGCAAATTTATATTTTTATGCTTGGTGCAGAAAAACTTGTAAAAACCATATGAATTTCATGTTTGCCAAATTTTGCACATTAGTTAGAGAGACAGGAACACTAACAAATTCTTCAGCAACAATGAATCTCTTAGGAAGTACTTGGTATTAGCAGTTGGAACTAAGGGTTTTATTTTTCTATAGTGCAGAACAAAGAAAGAGCAAAAGGAAGAAGAGTCATATACTTTTGAGGGGGAATAAAAGCAACGTGGACATTGAGCCTCTCTGACCTTTCTCTTACTCTTGGAATGTTAATTATGTTGGAAGTTGGAGTTCGAGTCCCAACTAGGAGGGAAAAAAAGGTTTACTTCTCTTTGAGTTTAATTCTCTGTCTTTATTTAAAGCCCCACAGCTCCCACTTTATTTCTGTAGTTCTTTATTATTTCTGCATCTGTACACTTTCTTTCTGTCGACTTAAGTGCTATTGTATTACACAGGGGCACATAGGAGGTGCAGAGATATATCGCTAGCTTTATAAAGGAAGTCAAAGTGAAAAATGAATTCAATAGAGCACAATTTGCTTTAAGAATGTGTGCTTTTCAGAGTAAAGTTTTATTAAGGATTTCAAACTAGGCATCAACCAAATCACATTTGAAATATCTGTATCTAGAGAAATAGCAACCACTTTATCATCTGTATAATTCTTAGAGTCCTGTCTCTGAAGATTTCTGTAAATAGCAAGCAGTACATCATGATACACTTAAAAAGTTCTGTATTTTGCCCAAACCTTATAATTTGTGGAACAATTTTCAAAGATCAGCACTTGTCTTTTTAGAGACAAGTAGGCCCCGAGTTCTTCTCTTTAATAATAAAGATGAGTAGGGAATAGATAAATACTAAGTGTGCCTCTTCAAACCATCTCTTTTGTTTTGTATTCAGTGGATAGAGATAAATAAATTACATTTGACCATTAATAAGTCATTTTCCCTAGAATGTTTAAAACTCAGATGCTTAAAGGTTTTTCTTCTCTAAGGGTGACCTGTAATTCTCAATTCCCAAATGTTAATATGACCATATAACAGATGTGTCTTTAAACCTTTAGTCCTGCTTTTCCCTCAATTACAAAACAGGGTCTTTGATTAAGGTGAGTTGAACTAATATTAATCCTAACATCCTTTGCAAAAAATAAATTTAAATACAGAAAGTGAGCAGCAACTACACATTCTTTTTCCCCCAAACACAAAAATAGGCTAATTGTTCAGAAATATTTGATATGTAGTCATTAATGTACAATGAGCAACTTCTTCCAACATATAAACAAACATATATGTAAACTACAAATGTCTTAGACAAATTTCAAAAGCTGAATGCGCTAAAGGAAAATGTTGTCCAACCTAATACAGTTTCCTTGTATTTTGATTACCTTCAAATCATGTCAAGTCGATGCAACCGTTTTCCTAGAAAGACCTACAGATAGCATTAAAGAACTCAAACTAAATACTTTAAGAACTGATTTCTCAGTGCTCTTAGAGCTCAGCTGAAGAGCTGTGAAACACTTCTTAAAACTGCCGAGATTTTGGAAGTAAGGGCTGGAGATCTGGATTTCAGACAAGTTATACTAAACACTTATGTACACTGAAATTTGAGAACCACAACTTAGAATTATGTTAAATTGGATATAATTTTCTGATTAATTAAGCTTGAGCCTACTCCTAAAGTCCTTTGCTTAGACTTTTGTCTTCATGTCCTATCTACTGGAGGGAAAATAATATTCATTATTAACTATTATTATTATTATCATTATTACCTATTACTATGATTACCTATTAGATGCATAGTTAAGATGAGCAAGAAATGGTGCTGCATACCTTTCCTCCCAGCACCCAGAAAGCAGAAGCAGTCAGATCTCTATGACATCACAGCTGGCTTGATTTGTATAAAGAGACCTAGACAAGAAGGCTGAGAACTAAGATGCTGGGTTTTTTAAGGTATCAAACATTTTAAATTTTTAAGAAATTCCATACCTTAAAACATGTCCTGTCACACAATTACTAGATTCTCTCTTGGAATGCTCAACCATATTAGTTTGCTTTAGCTACAAAATAAATGGAAGACAAACATGGGGCATCTTTATCCCCTTTTATTTTCCCCATCACAACCCAATACCTTATATGACTTAAAGGCACATAATAAATATTTATTTAACCGTTGTCTTTGCTGCTGTTGGCTGCTATTCTATGTGTCTCTGCCTACCTATAAAAATGTCCTACTTGATTGCTTCTTTCAGCTTCCATGGAACCAAGCCTTAAATTTCAAACTTTGTAGAGAATCCTGTGAACAGTACTCATTGAACTGTTTAAATAGCTAAAATATTGAATTAGGAATTCTCACTTAGGGTTATCAGAGGAAAATGATGACTCTAGAAGGAGGAAGAAACAGAAAATTTGACCTCTATACCGCATACAATCTGCATTTATATAGTGTATTCATAACATGGTACAACATGGTTAATTTATTATATACTAATACTATTAAAGGGTTGAAATGTTTAATTTCTCTCACTTTCAGTAAAAGTATACATTTTTAACATAGTTTCAGCATGGCATCATGTATTATAGAATTAATATTCTTACATATTATGCAAATATAAAGATAAAGGGAAATATTGCAAATCTACCCCTAAAAGAAAAGATGGTGGTCATTACAGAAATTTCCATGCATAGTTTAAACATTTGCTTACAAAGGTACACCTACCTACTCACAAACCTTTTACAAAATAAAAAAGATTGTACTTCTTTTTTGTAACATACTTTCTCTTTTTCTATAGGCATAAAATTTTGCCTAGGCTACCGTACCTAATATTGGATAGAATTTCATTGTATGACATTATCATAATAGATGTAATAAAGGCCTTATCACTGAATATTTGTGGGTTTTTAGTTTATCATAATCATAAGCAATGGTAAAAATTAATATTTTCTACCTATAACTTTTTGGGCTTTTCCAGTTGCTTTCTTCATATTCCTTTAATTGAATAGTTATTTTCACCTTTTAAAGACTTTCATGTCTCCATTAGAGTATATTTCAGAAAATTTGAGACAATTTAATATCAGTATTAAGTACATAATCTAGTAATATGAAGTCCAGAAGGAGAGTTATATTGGAAATATCAGGCTAAGTTACTGAATAGACAAGGGAAATATTCTTCTACTTGGCTGCTTTACATTGTATTTCTTGGCAGCCCTGGAGACTTTAATGTATTTATGTTACAGGCAGCATTAATTCTTATGAATTAATTAGTGCTTGCTGATAAAACTGTAAGTGATGCACCATGGTTGCAGATTGACCTAAGGATAAAGCACTGAAATTTTCTCCTTTGTTTTCTGGATGATGATTTATTTTATTAATTTACTTTCTCCTCTGCAAATGAAATGTGGTTTTTATAGCACAGATCATTCATTTGTATATTCCTACACAGCTTCTAAGGATTAACATGTCCTAAATACAGCTGATAGGAGAGCACTCTATCTCCTGCCTAAATTATTCATGTTTGAGGGAAGCTTTCTGACAAATGTCTGATTTTTCTCTTCCACTGAGTTGTTATCTCCATAACTTTTGCACAAAGGAAATAATGCAAAATGTTGGAACTTAAAACTCAAATCCCAGGTGCAAAGGAAGAAAGAGGGGCAGAGGAACAAGGGAACCATATGGGAGGCAAAGCAAAAGGAACACATACCAGATGGAAGGAGTCAAAGAAAAAGGCTGCCCAGGGTAGAAGAAAGAGAAAAGTCGAAATGTAGGGAGAGACCTTTCCATTTTACAAAGCAGAAAGCATTCCAATATGAGTCATATGAAAACTAAGTCGTTTTATTAGTCACTGGTTCTAAGTCTTTTTCTACCAGAAACACCAAAAATCATTGACAGAAACAGGACGGTAAAGCAATTGATTCTAGTGTAGAGACCATGCCAAAAGTCTCAGAATTCTGCATGTGGAAAGAAACATATGTCTGAATGTAGCCTTTCCTCAAAATTGTCAACAGAACAGCCCCACCCCATTTCATGATTCCCCAAATCAGATAGCTAGATTTTTATTGATAGGTGTGTATTATGGCAATATCCAAACAATGCAATGGAAGACTCATTAACTACACTTCTAGCTATTCTGACACAGTTTGCTTCTGTTAACTTTCAGGTCCCATTTGGAAGCCAGTTCTGACCAGTGGAAGCGTTTGCATCTTTCTCTTCAGGAACTTCTTGTGTGGCTACAGCTAAAAGATGATGAATTGAGCCGGCAGGCACCTATCGGTGGAGATTTTCCAGCAGTTCAGAAGCAGAATGATATACACAGGGTAGGATGTTTTAGAGAATAATGACTTGTGCATAGTAAGCATTAAATGACTATTTTAAAATTGTTTTTGATTAAAAATTAAATGGAGTGAAATATTTTTACTCCTTTTATCCAATGGTTAATTATAAATAATCCACACCCATTATATTTTAAATGTCAAAAATCTCCATTAGTAATATCCCTTTTGTCTATTTTTAAACCCTTCTTATCATGGAAAATATTGAATATTTATAAAAGTAGACAGAATTTTATAAAAAAAATTCACGTGCTTTCCAAGATATCAACAATCCTCAATTCATGGACACTTTTATTTCTTCTATGCCTCTATTCATTCCCTTGTCATTTTGAAGCAACTCTCAGTCATATTCCATTTATTCTAAAATATTTTAGGAAGTATCTCAAAAAGGGAAGGGTTTGCTCTTTGTAAGTAAATATACTCGTATAATATTATAAAATAGCAGTAATTGTATCATATCAAATATTCATTTTTCTCACACATAACATTTTTTAAGTTTTCAGTTGTATTATAATAATCAAAATGAGATCCATGAATAAAATTAGTTGACTTTTTTATATTACAATTAAATCATTTCTCCTTTACCCTTCTTTCCTCCAAACCTTCTTGTACATGACTCCTTTCTCTCTCAATTTCGTGACCTATTTTTCATTACTTATTTCTACTTATAATCTGTTCTGTCTGTATAATATAACTTGTATATGTGTCTTCAGAGATAAGGTATTGAACAACCAATTTGTGTGTTCCTCTTTGGAGAAGACTGTTTCTTCCATTCTTAGCATTTCTTAGTTTCCTGTAGTTCTTTGTGTAGGGTTGAAGCCTTGTGGAATTTCTCCTGTCCCTTTTGGCATGCTTATTGCTGTCCTTATTCAGCTCATGTTTAGGCATTCATATTAATGACACTTAACAGATGTAGCTTCTAACACTACTGATTGATACAATATCACTGCAAACAACCTGATTCTCTGGTTCTTACAATCTTTCCACCCCATCTTCTGCAGGGTTTACTGAACTTTAGGTGTTGGACTATTTTGTAGATATATCCACCGAGGAGTGGGGTGGGAGGGCTCTATAACTCTGCCTTTGGATCAGTAGTGGTTTTCTATTATTGTCTCAGTCTGTTACTAAGAGAAGATGTCTTGGTAATGGGTGAGAACTATATTTGTCTGTGGGTATAAGGAGAGATGTTTAGATTGTTGTTACGGATTAGGCTGGTTTAGTAAAGTGGTGAATGAAGTTTCTCCTCTACAATCTATGACTTCACTAGCCTTGGGTAATAATCTAGGTTTCCTGCACCAAGTATGATTTCCTCTTGTTTAACATTTCTTCATTTCAATTGAAGAGCTATAAGTTATTGCCAAGACTTATATGCCACAATTATACCTTTAATGTTATGGAGCAATGTTGGCTATTGTGATTCATAAGTGTCATAACTGGATAGAATTGTTGGTTGTTTCCCTGATTTGGAAGATTGTTTGTCTAGTCATCAGGGAGGAGGCCTTCTGGAGAGTTCCAGGTTAGGGGATCTCTGGGCCCTCTTTATGAAGTACATAGCTTGCTTCTTCAGCAATAAGGACTTACCTTCCACTCCTGAGAATGGGCAGTCAAGGGCAATAGCAATAGCTTGTAGGTTTGGGAGTCTCTTGGACAACCCTGACTATGCTGGCTAATTTTATAACTTGATACAAGCTAGAGTCACTGGAGAATAAGAAGCTTGCCTCATTTGAGAAAATACCTCTATAAGATTAAGCACTAGGGAAGCCTGAAGGGTATTTTCATGATTTTTGAGTCAGGAAGGTCTGGCCCTTTATAGGTAGAACCATTCCTGAGCTGATGGTCCTGGGTTCTACAGGAAGGAAGGCTAGGTAAGCCGTGGGGGGAAAGCCAGTAAGCAGCATCCCTCTGTGATCTCTGTATCAGCTCCTGATTCCGTGTTCCTGCCAAGCTTTAATTCCTGTCCTAACTTCCTTTAGTGACTATGGTATGAAAATATAAACCAAATAAACCATTTTCTCCCTACTTGGTTTGGTCAGGGTGTTTTATCACAGAAACCCTAACTGGGGCATGAACCAAAAAACTCAAAAGACGGTTTCTCATTTCTGATATTGAAGTTTTTGATAGGTTTTCTGTCTTTGGGAAGGAGAATTATTAACTCCAATTCACTTATTAGCTTCCTTTCCTCACCATTTTTATACCATTTATATAAGATTAAAAATATAAATGTCTCTCAAATGTTGAGAATAATGAGTCATTCCTCCCCTAGGATCTTTCATCATTGGCCAATTGTTGGTTTTGTTTTTTGTTTGTTTCTGTTGTATGTCTTTCTTTCTTCCTTTCTTACATTTCTGTCTTCTCAAGAAGGTTCTGAATGGGAAAGGCAAGATTTCATTTTCTTCACTTTTCAAAACCATATAGATTAGTGTAGTATATGATGTATAATAGCTACTAATAACTGTTTTTTCCAAATGGAAATGAAAGGTCCATAAATAGACATGAACTGCGAGCCAAAATATACTATAGTCAAATGAAAAAATCTTGTTAAATGGTAATACTTTTGTATATTCAATCTTTAAAAGAAATATCTCACTGGAGACTCACCCAATGGTAGCATCTTAAAGAAAGATCAAGCAGGGGCTTATATTATTTCAGAGAAAAGGACACAAGAGTTTACAAAAAGAAAAAAAAATATGAAGGCACAGAGGTCTTTGAAAGATAATGCTAAGAAAGACTTCTGTTTCTTACGCTATTTCTTTTTATGTATTCAAGTTACTAAATTTTGTAGCAAGTTTAAATGTAATCCCACTGTATTTTATTGTGTCCTAACTTTGAGTAGCTCAATATTGATATATATGTATAACATTCATTGAAAAACATGAATATTTTTGTTGTTTTAAAAAGTGTTTTTACACAATATATTTATATTGATTTCTCTCCCCTTCTGTAAGACCTCTCAGATTCTTTTCACCTCCCTCTCAACCCAAATTCATGTTTTTCTCTATCTCAAAAAATAATTAAGGAAAATCCCGACAGTAATCAATACAAACTACCAAAAGATGAAAATACAGAAACAAAAAGTAGGCAAGAAAGAATAGGGGTGTGTGTGTGTGTGTGTGTGTGTGTGTGTGTGTGTGTGTGTGTGTTAGTCATCAATTGTAGGACATAGAGCCATCTATGGATTTTATATGATATACTCAATGTCACTCCATTGGAGAAAACTGATTTCATTTTCCCAGTAGGCATCAATTGCAAATATCTTCTAAGATAGAGTAGGATGTTATGTCTAATTTCCATTATCAGTGCTTGAATTCTGTCTGGTTTGAACCTGTCCAGGTCTTCTATGTGCTGCCACAGTACGTTTAAGTTCCTGTGTGTACCAACCCTATTGTGTCTGGAAGATTCTACTTCCTGTGAATCATCCACTACCTCTGGCTCTTAAGATCTTCCCCCTCCTCTTCTGCCAAAGACACATAAGCATTTTAAATAGAATTCTTTGTCTGATACAGTAGAGGCTTAATTTTTGCAAAAATAGATAATTTTATTATAGCTGGGACACTAAAGAAAATAAATCATTGGAAAAGTGCACATAGTAAATAAGTACAGCTTGTGACTACTATTTTGTCTAGCAGTAGAAATATGGGGAAATTGGTCAAAAGAACTGCCATGATTTCCTTTTCTAACATTTTGTTGTAACTACTGCTTCCCTGTACCTGACTGCTTGATCTGATAGCTTACTAATTGTTCAAGTGCTTGTACTTAAATTTTCAGTCTCCATGCAGAAAAATCATATGTGTAGAGACAATGGAGACGCTAGAGTTAAAGGTAACATGTGCTTGAGTAATTGATCACTCAGATGCATGCCTATGGGCTTTATCCCACTTGTAATGTTTTTGCATGTGATGTGAGTTCCTCTATTCTCCCATGTTTACCTTCCTTCCTCTGTTACTCAGATTCAGTCACCACACATTTGCATAACTGGGCATCCTTTAGTAAAGTGTGTTCAGTTGCTTTGACATGCAGCTTTACTTGAGATTTTGCCTAATACACAATGGTATCTTGGTATCTTTATGGTGGTAAATATCACAAAACATTCCCCATTCTCAAGGAATCTGTCACTCCTAGGTATTGATGAAAGCTCAGTTTTATATCCAGTTTTACTCTCCAGTGGCTTTCAGAGGTGTGCTACAATGACTTATTCAGCAATGATACACTTGCTGCTTGGACAAAAAGAATAAAGGAAGATTCTTTGTAGCAGGGTTTTCTGTCAGAATATCAGAACTCAGAAGGATCAAAAGTAAATGGAGTCAGTATAAAATTCCATCAAAATGTCCTCAAAAGTATGTTTTAATTTTTACTTCTGTTTGCCTTCCATGTTTCCAGGATCAGATTTTTCTGGTTCTTTATTGGATTAGTTATTCAATTGCTGTCTACATGACTGCTGGGTTGAATGTCAAGATGGATCACTTGAAATCATAAATTTATTCTCCATGTATTTTCAGTGTCACTTTTAAAAAATCATTTCTTTTACTAGTTGTGGTAAACTATTAATGCCCTTGACTGCTTTTGACAGGAACCTGTCTTAGTCAGGATTTCTATTGCTGTGATAAAACACCATCTCCAAAAGCAACTTGGAGGGAAGTAAGTTTGATTTCAGCTTATAGCTTAAAGTCCACTATCCAACGAAGTCTAGTCAGAAGCCCAGAAGGAGGACCTGATGCCATGGAGAACATGGAGGAGTAAAGCTTACTGGCTTGCTGCTCCTGGTTTGCTCAGCTTACCTTCTTATATCATCCAGGACCACAAACCTAAAGGTGGCACTATCCACAGTGAACTAGCTGGGCCTTCCTTCATCAGCCACCAATCAAAAAATACATTACATATATGCATAGTGCCTACAGAGGTCAGAAAGATAACAGATCCTCTGGAACAGGAGTTAGGGATGTTTGTGAACTCCATGTGGGTGCTGGGAACTGGACCTTGGTCTTCTG